GTGCAGTTATGTGGGATCAAAAACTGACCTGTAACATTAATGAGGCGTGAAGGTACATTTTTTTCATGACTAAATTTATTCTACCAAAAGAAAAAGAGCTGACTGCGAAAGGGTCAAACGGGAACTTCTATCTAATTTGGTGTTACCTCTAACGGAAAAAGACGGAAAAAGAAGAAGGCTGATTTTACACGAGGCTGTAAATATTCGTCTCATATTATGATAAACTAAGTGAGCGAGGTTTTTGGGCAGTTATGTTTATTCCTGTGTGAATCAACAGGTATCAGGTTGCAAATATGTGTCATCGTGTTTGTTCCGATAAAAAGTCTTAAAAAGTTTTCCGACGCGCATGAAAAGAAAGTTTTTGTTTCTACTGTGCAAAGTTGTGACATTAAAGCTTTGCTAATGAGTCGATCCAGAGTGCAATCACAATCAACAATCAAGGGCCTGAACAAATGCCACGCTCATTTACATCATGGCTAAAGTAAGCAATAATGAGCAGACAGCAGTGGCTGCCAACACATATCTGAAACCTCTGTGTGCATGCGTCAGTGCAACAACATGATCATATGTTTCACAGCTCCACTGTTGATTGGCTCTTTGAAGGCAGGGTGAGATTAACACCATCTTTACAGCCTCACTCATGTCTATTCATAATTCTTTGAGTGTCATGTCTGTGTCTCTCTCTTATTATCCCTCTGGTTGGGAATTTTTGACTTTTAAGTGTCCTCGTAAACTTTCAGCGGGGTTGACGTAATATGAATGTGGAGGAAAGTCTGCGGCAGTCGTCACTCCTTAAAGTTTTGAGCTGTGATTGTGCCAATTACCCTGCTGCAGCACGAATCCTTCCCCACAAAAATGCAAACCAGAGGGTGGAGCACATCTCTGCAGAGTAGAGAGCTGCTGCTCCTCAGCCAGGGTGGAGTCAGTTCACTGCAGGTGTCCAGCTACAAACTTTTCTCTTTCTGGCATCATTCGTTCTCTCCTTACATTCAGCCTCAAGTTACTGCCACTGATCTTCACCAGGGTTCATCTGTAAACTGGACTTTCTGTCCTCGTTTCTCCTCCTGGGAAATGGTTTCGAGACGCTCCTCTTCCTCTGAGACCACAGCTAGACAGCTTTCTTTTGACTTTGGCTGATTCAGCTCTTGTGTTCTTTATTTAGTAAATTCTATATCTGTGATAAACCTACTTTGCTGTCTCTCAGTGAACAAGGCTTGATGAATTGATCCGCTGAAGGCTTTAGAGTTTCATGCACTGGCCCCTGATTTGGCTCAGAGAATACCTCTGTTTGCTCAGAGTAACAGTCCAACTTCTCTGTTACTTTGCTCTCATGCCATCTTTCCCATGCTGCTTATTCAGCAATGTTCTCCTGGAAACTTGAGGCAGAGACGCATTTCTAACAGGTGAACAATGGCTGCAGGTTGAATTAATTGAAGGTGCTTCCTTTAAGTCGATGATATATATACATACATACACA